TTGTGATTGAATTGGATATAAGGACCCCCATAGCACTTTAGACCTAAAACTCCCTTGGTTCCTTGCATGATGAATTTACATGCGAACCGGACTAGATGATTAATACACGAGTCAATAGTAAAGAGGTGTCAGGTATGTTTCCTCCAACATTAGCCTTATTCGCGACTCGATCCTAGATAGGGTTTGAGTTCGACTCATGACTGAGTCTCTCGTGAATAGTCATTGAGACAGGGTTCTCAATGACCGCTCTAGTCATACTAGGTTGATGATGAAACATCGCTCTAGATATTTAGCCAGCGTGGAGTACTTCCACGCTACTAGATAAAAGCTAGACGAATCTTCCACGCGTTCCGTTTTTGGATCGTGGAGTGAGTAGGATTGCTACCGCAACCTACTCTATCACACTCTACAGTCTCCCGCGGGAGTTCAGATCTACGATCCTTTGATTGTGGATCTCTCTCGTTGATTAGTTTTCATAGCTTTCTAATCCTCTCATAACTTTCATTCTCTCAAACTCAAAACACTCGAAAGATCTTTACACTAGCTTTTAGCGTAGTGCAAAAGCTTCTAGTAGTAAACGAACGAAGCACATCAACATTAGGTACTTCTTTGTGAGCGACAAAGTCGCAAAGAAGGAGATCAGTGTGGACTGGTGTCCAACTGATGATATGGTTGCGGACTTCTGGACGAAGCCGAACCAAGGTCGACTGTTCAAACAGAATGTGGACAAGTTGATGGGTGTTGTGGAACACTCAGAGCCAGGGCACTCAGTAGGAGGGTCACGGCCGGACAAGAAGGTCCGTTCAAAGAAGGAGCGCTAAGCAGAGTAAGTAAGTAAGCATGGTCGACGACTAGGACAAGCTCGACGACCACAGGAGTGTGTTGGGGATTCGCGATTAGGGATTCAACCCCTGTACCTCTGTACTAGAATTTCACAGTAGAAATACAGAGCCCACCCACTTTTTCAGTAGTATCTCAATAGCAACAGTAACAACTAGAAGAGAGCTTAGAGCAACTAACAAAGGGGTGTTGTTGGTTGATGGGGCTGTGTTACTGGATGACACTGTGTTGTCTCAAAGGCTGGTACTCAATCTGTTGTAGGGATAACAATGCAACAGAGAGTCAAGCCAAGATGTGGAGAGGGTACTCGATTCAGGTGGAACTGGGGAAAGTCACTGGAGAGTCACTCAACAATCAATGAGAGAGAGAAAGAGTCAGTTATGTATTAATATCTATGCCACACCACGCTGCAGTTCTGTTTGGGGCTCAATCCTTTGGAGCTCCACACTCAGTAGGAGAGGCAGATAGGAGCAGAGAGGTGGCTGTGTCAATGAATTGTTGCACAATCTAGACAGACACGCTAGAGGGGCAGCTTTTGTAGTTTGTTCTTGTGGGGGTGAAATCCTTTGGAGAGGAGCTGGGTATCTCAGGGGGGGGGCTGTCAGACTCTGAAAATGTCAGCCAAGCCTGGAGGTACAAAAGCTTAAATCCTTACAGGAACTCTGTTGTTGTTTGTTGTTCCTCTGGGAGAGGAGTTAGATATCAATGTAGGAGTGGTAACAGTAGCAGGTATCAATCATTCAATCAGTCTGTATAGGGATAGGACTGGTTGGATCAGTAGGATCAGTTCCAACAAGGACGTCGGGAGAAGCTCAGAGTGGCCGGTGAGAAAGTAAGAAATACAGCTGTGTTTCTGTTCTCGACGGTCACTGCAGGTATCTCGTGAAGTCCTTCTTGATGGTAGGAGGCTGTCGTTCGATCCGACGGAGGAAGGTTGATCGATTCACGGAGTAGCGAGTCTTGGATTCGAATCGATAATTCGATTCAATTCGCGATTCGGATTCGCAATTCGGATTAGTCAGTTGCCTTAGGGGTAAGGTTAATCGGAGCCTGTTGTTGTTGAGGAAGAAGATCGATCGTTCGAAGAAGAGGATCAGTCGACAATGGGATTTCGTCGGTCGTCAGGAGCTTAGTTCAGAAAACAACAAATACGTATGGGAATTGTTTTCTGTACTGTGCTGTGGAAGACCGGAGACTTCTTCTTGTTGTCAAATTATTCCAACTTGGTCGGCGGCGGCCGAGAAGAGAAAACCCGCCCGATCCAGTAGGATTTCAATGGGGATGGCTGTCTAATCTGAACCGGAGAACGCCGCTTTGATAGTCGCTTGATAGAGGAGGTGCGAAGGAGATAGAAGGTGACGATCCTGTCATCTCTGTGGGGCTTGAATGATAGATAAAGAGGGGAAAAGGGAGCGTGTTTCCTGTGATGACATTGAGCGGATTCCTATAGTAAAACAGTTCTCTTCAACAAGATAACAGAAAACAGGCTTCCTGAGGTCCTTTCGCTTCGTTTCGATCAATGCTTCTAATGGTGCTAATAGGTAGTGTAATGGTATAGGTATGACCGATTGGTTGTGTTTGTTGCTATTAGTGTTGTTGTTCTTGTAGTGACAGATTCAGAGGGGAAGCTCCGCGGTGCTTCGGCTTCCCGTAAAAAAGTTCTATTCTCATGGGCCTTTCTATTTCCAGCTCGCGGCTTGGCTTACATGCTACCTCCTGATCATCTGCTACCTCCTGATCATCTTCACCCATAAGATCTTTTGCTTGACTAGGCGAAGAATGCTCATTCTGCTCATCAGCCTCCTCCACTTTGGATTCATCAACTCCTGGATTATCAGCCATAGTAATCGTACCTTATTGCTAGCTTCCACAAACGTTCAACCAAGCAAATTATGAGCTTCGAATGAAATGAAGAGTGGTATCAAGTAACGATCTCAGCCCAAGTGGTTTCTCATTAGTTCCACGCCCACGATGGCTGTCCAGTTCCACGCTCACGATCCATTCCAGACCCACACCTCCTCTCCATCCCCATCAGATGCGCCTCCTCATCCAAGCACGCACCTCCAATGCCAGAGAGCTCGGTCTTAGAAGGTTAAAAGCTGGATTGGTATTAGAGTCAACAGTTTGATTTAAGCTATGTAGCCAGCTGGTTCTTCTTACTCAAATCACCTCATGTTTTCTCCAGAAATGAAGACAAATTTTTGAGGTTGGTGGGAGGGTAGCACAACGACGCGATACTAGTACGTCAACAGGATAATGGTTTCGTGTTGCTCGATTGATATCACCTAGCCAATGGGGCTACCAAGTGTGATAATCTGTATGACCACTGAGAACACCTCATTCACGGAATCTTTTATCCTGTCTATTATCCTGCCATGAAAATCAACCCCAAATCTATTGCCGCTGCTACCCATGCTACTAGCAACCATGATACCCATGCAACCCAACCTTCAGTGGCTCCCTTGGTGCCGATGAAATCTACGCTGCCTGTGAATCCTTGTGCCCTCCTCTCTAATGTTCGTGTGGCCAATGTGAATGAGGCACTTCGAACTCTGAATACACCTTCTTCCACCCCACATTGCCACCATCCCTATTATGTCAGGCTCTGCAATTTAGAGGAGAAGATTAGGGAATTACCAACTCTGGAAGAGACAACAAACAACCATGCTTATGATTGGTTCACAGAATCAAAGGAACCCCCCTCCAAGAGAGGCAAACATACTACACCAACCTTAACCTTTGTTCACGCCGGTGATTTGCATACAGAACCATCCAACCTTCCATCCATGGCCAACCTACTATACGTGAAGGATCCAAATCATTTAGAGCCATTTACTGGTACTGAGGGATGTCACCACCCACTTGTCTGTACATTGGTTCCTAGGAATTTTATTCAACAAACCTATGGTAAGCAAGTCAAACTGGATAATCCGTTTGCTGGCTGGAATACTGCTGTTAAAGAAACTCCAGTGCTACCAAAGAAAAACAGAGAAGGCAAGCATAGGAGACTGGTATGGGAAGACAAGAACAATACCTACCCAAAGATTGGTTGTCTTGTCAAACAGGCTGGTGGTTTATCTTTCCATCTCCTTCCTGAATCAGTTCCAAAGCACCAAGTCAAGAATTAGGAAGGACATCCTCAAGCTACGCCATATCTATGAGTCCTTCATTGATACCCAGCACCTTGTTGGGTGTCAAATGCTCAGAGAGCTTATTAACCAACCAACCTTGTCTATTGCTCCTGGGATTCAGATTGGGGACACTTTCCCATCCATTGCATTTGCCAAGAACAGTTATGTCAGCATCCATGTTGATGATGAGGATTGTGCTGTGTGTGCATGTGCTAAGCATCATTTCTCCAGGTAATCTTGAAAAGGACTCACCCATTCTTGTATACTTTACCTTTCCATCTATTGGAAGGACAGTTGGGTTGAGGAATGGGGATGTAATCAACTTTAATCCCATGGTTCCTCATTGTATGTCATCCAGGGTCAATCCAGACATGGATGTCATATGCATTGCCCAGTACTTCAAGAGAAGGATCCTTGGGGACAATGATAAGGAACAGGCTAGGGCCAATATGGCTTCCAACCAACAATCTAATAGTTAGTCTACTTAAAAAAACAGCCATTATGTTTCCATCTTTTTATTCTTCTTCATCAGTATCTTCCTCTAGAACCTCTTGTGGCAAGGAGAAGGGATTCTTATCACCTTTGATAGCAGCACCAACCTTACCCCAAACTTCAGGATCAAGATCAAATACTGGTTCCTGTATAAAGTTCCACAATAGACTTTGGAGCTTCTTCTGTTTGAACTCTTTCCCATGGCTGCTCTTGAGTGTCTCTTGCGACGGGATACAGCTTACAATTCAGCTTTACAGCTTTACAATTGGCAGGCTTATTCTAGACAATAATCAATAACTGCTCACTTATTTGGAAATACAAACTTTACATCTCTTAGATCCCTAGATTAATCAATGCCACAATGGTATTGTCGCATGGTAGCATGCGAGGTTATGAGATGTTACTCATTCTTATTCTTATATGTCTACCCCTTGTTATCATCAGTGGTAACCCCTTTTCTCGACTGGATTCGCTCGAAAGCAATCCCCTCGACCTTACTCCTATTGACGATCGTAATCTCAATGAGTATCCTATCCTGGATTCGCTCGAAAGCAATCCCCTTGATTCGCTCGTAAGCAATCTCCCATTCCATCCTGTCGTTGATCAAAATCGCGATGAGGACCTTATTTTAAACAATGGACTCCTATTGGAGTCCACCTTTCTCTCAATCGACGCAGGTACCACTACTGGTACTGCTTCTTTCACTACTACTATCGCTTCTACTGCTACTACTGTTATCTCTATCACCGACAAAGCCTTGGTCGATCGTCAAGGGGATCCCATCAACACGGAGAGATCGATCGGCCGAGTTAACAGAATTCATCGAAAAATGAGGCTTGACTGCATATATAAGGCTCGGCTTGTGTGTCATGCCTTGAATCATGCTTCGAGGGTCTTTATTATCGATTCGAATTGGCTGAGTCATGCTTGCCTTATATCTTCGAAGCAAACTCCTCACTTTTTCATTCCAAACGTGAAGAACAACAACAACTCGATCGCTCGTGATGTTGTTGAGGCTGTTGGTCGATCGACAGTTGGTCTCTGTCTACCCAGGACCGGCATTGGTCGTTTGAACTGGCTTGTGAACTCGCTTGCAGTTGTTGTCGACACCGACACGAAAGATAACAGCTCAACCGATTCGCCGAATCAGTTGAGCTACCTTCGTCGTCGTTATCTTTCGCGTCGACAAGCGAGTTATCGTCGTTTGAATCTTCCGAACTGTTGGAAAGCTCATAAATTCCATCTTCGATTGACTCGATTGACTGGATATCCACCGGCCTCCTCTTGTTGCCACAGCACTGTTGTTGATTTTCACTGCCTCTTATTCCATCAGGTATTTTAAAATGGACCTTGACGACGCTTCCTCTGCCTCAGCATCTTCATCTTCAACAGCAGCGCCAGCATCAGCATCCTTGTTCAGTCCACAAGGCTTCAGACAAGCTTTCTTTGAATCTGATCCATCAATCATCCCACCATCTGATCCTCCAATCATGACTGCAGCACCATTGACCGCAGTTCAATTCCAGGAGCTCCTCCAGCACATTGGGAAAACCAAAGAAAAGACCAAGCTTACAGAAGCCCC